TTGCATGAAAGGAAGAGAAGAGTTTTCAGAGAAATTATTTTCTCTCCCTCGTCAAACGGTTGAGCAGTTACTCACTGCCACCTGGTTTCCACTACAGCTTTTAGAAGCTTCCAAAGTGACATATGGCATTCAGTGCATGCAGAGAGAAAGAGAGTGGATTTTGACGTGGCAAGGTGCAGTAAAATGTGATCAGAGAATAGATTAGTGTTTATTAATTTATCAGGTTCTCACATCATTTCACTTTTCCAATATATACTGTGATTTCTTTTCCTGTAATATTTCATTTTTCTTTATCGTTATCTTCTTCTTCCTTGCATTATTTGTTCTTCGTTTCATTTTTTTTCTTCTTCTTCATCTTCTTTCATTTTGTCATGTTGTTAACACTTGATAGTGATTCTATCGATTATGAGAAAATTGAGAGTATTTTAATTGAATGATGATAGAAATTGTAAATATTTTATTATGACGATGATAAAAATTTTTGAAGAATTTGTATGAACATAGCATGAATTAAATTAAATTCATATCTATATATATATATATAGGAAGAAAGAAAGAATATGTTATTAAGAAATAAATCCATACTAAACACCTTTTTTGTAACTTTTAACATGTAAAAACATTGATAAAAAGTTCCTAGACTTTCTTATCAAATATTAGATTGTCCATAGTGTTAATATATAGTAGTAGGATTCCATAAATAGTTTAGTCTCATACTAGTCATTGATCATTTTGTTAAAACGTCTAATGGTTATAAACAAAATTACTTAGTATGTCTTCTTTATTAGGGCAAATCTATTTCATATATGTCAGTTATAACAATATTTACTTTATAAACAGCTTTAGTGGGAAAATAATTGAAAGTTGTAACACTTGAGTTATATTGGATGAAAGTTTGAGTTTGTTGAGATAAACAAGTTATATGATGAAAATTTGACTTTGTTGAGATAAAGAAAATAATCTTAAAATTAGTAAATTATTACTTGAATGTATGTTGAAGATCCTTAAACTTTAGCTAACAACGGTATCAACTAAAAATAAGATTAATGTATAGTACATAAGTGAACGTAAACTTTATTTTACAAGTTAATTTTGTAAGGTTAAGTTATGTTTAACATTTTCTTCTTAACATATTATCAAAGTCATATATTAGAGTTTATCATAATAAAGTTTGTTGTTTGTTAGATATATTATTTTATTTATTATGTAGTCAATTATTGATTCAACTATTAATATTTAGTCTCATGTTAAATATGTATATGTCTTGAAGTGGAGTATGATGAAAGTTTCACATAGATTATAAATAAAATCAATTCATAATATATAAATGTCTCTAAACCTTATTTTCTTGTAAGACTGAATTACAAATTATAGTTACTTTTGTTCTTTAATAACAACTTTTTTTTTCATTTCCCTCTCTCTCTCATCACCTATTAATCAGTCATGTAATTTTTTTTTATTTTCAATATATCATTTATCATTTATTTATTTTTCTCATTATTATTGAATTTTTTATTGCTTTACCACTTTACAAATAAAAGACAATGTTTTTAGAATGTTTTCATTTGTTTATTTACATATATATTTTATGTGATGATAAATAATAAATGTGGATTTTGAAGTATCAAGCTAAAATGTAAAAATATAGAATAATGCCTACAACGAGAATTACATAAGATAAAAGATTCATTCAGAAAAATCTTGATTAGGATGTCTCCAATGAACATAAATTGAAGTATGGAAATGGAGTTGTAAGCAGATGCCATTGCAGTGTGAATTCGTCAAACATAAGAAATTTCGAAAGCGAAATGAGTGAAAATTAAAGATTTTTCTTTGCCGTTACTTAAAAATATCATTTTGTGGACTATTGGATAGTGCTTGTGAAGATGTCAAACTTCATTTCACGCATGATAACGTTATCTTTATCATTGTTTTTCATTTAATGATAAATAACAAAATTAGATATTTGAAAATTAAAAACTGAAAAAATTATAGTGAATAAAATAATAAAAACAAAAATGTTGAATTGTAGGATTTGTGCTACAGTCTTAATATGAATTTAATTCAAGCAACATTAGTATAACTATCAATTTTGTACTCCATTATTCAATAAATTAACCAGAAATGGAATTTAAGTTTTTATTTACCTTCTATATATTATACATTCCCATATTACATCATTTAATAATTTTTTGATTAATAAACTTCACAACTAGAAAATATAATATTAACTTGTTTAGTTATTTTTTATTATTATGGTTTCGAAAATTTTCGGTGAATAAACTAAATAGCATTCAGTCTATGCCGAACCGAATGTATTATTGTTTGTTTGAGGTATCAGTGAATGTTACAGATTTGATGTTTACCAAAATTGATACAGTGTTTTACATTAATGGTATTTTAGAGTTTAGAACTGTAAATTGATAATTTTTGGATAGAGTAAAATATAGGTTAATCTTTGATGTGTGGTATTAATGGTGTTTAGAGTTGTTAGTGGAATTTGTAGATTTAAACAATCTTTTGAGTGCATGATCTATGAGAGTAAGTGTTGGAATAGGTTTAAAAATTATAAGATATGCTTTTTAGAGTGTCTTTGGATTACATGTTTCTGTTATACATGCTAGGATGGGTGCTGGATTACATAGCAACTGCTAGACATCACAGTGATAGTGGTGACATTTGGGAGCCAATGTTACAGGTGCATGGCACTAGGCACCAGTTGTAGGGTGTTATTTGAAGTCTATGGTTAGAAATAAGTTGGACACGATTGTCTTATTTTAAATTTGTGATGATAATTTTGTTTTGAAATTTGGTGTAATTGTGTGCTAAGTTGAAGGTATTGGATGTTGTTTAAATTGTATATTCATTGCAATGTTTTAATGTTATTGTAATTTATGTGGATGGTTTTTAATAAATATTATGAAATAGAATGTGTATTGTTGTGAATGTAATCATATGATGTGATGATGGGTAAGAAGTCTGTTGTCTCAACAAGAGGTGAGAGGATTCTAGAAACTGGAAGACTTTGGCTACAGTCATAGTAGCTATATCAATATTTGACTTCACAGGTAAAACTTGTGGAAGAGTATAAAGAAGTAGACTCTATTTGAAAATTCTTGAGGAACATAAAAGAAGAGGATTTAACTCTAGAAATGAACTAGTTTTGATGGTAGGTTACGTACGAGGGCTATGTTTATATTGATTATTGAATCTCTTAGACTAAGACTACACATGGATTTGTTGTCGTCAAATAAAACAACAATTATTGTAATTATGTGATAATGGATGAATTAATGGAAAAGCTTGGGTAAAGTTTGCTGTGGTATTTTATCATTATATATATATATATATATATATATATATATAGAGAGAGAGAGAGAGAGAGAGAGTTATGGTTTTTACTTGTCATGATTATTTTTCTATGTTATAGAAGCAAATGATATTACAGATCTTCACCTGAATTACAAATCTTGACCTGAATGCACAACAATAAGGAGTTTGGGTCAAGAATGGACCTTTTCTCATGATCCCTCCTCCTTTTCTTCTTTATTTAATTTCTCTCTCTTCACCCTCCTTTTCTTCATTCTTTTATTTTCTGTGTCTTGTATCTTCGTTTGTTTCTTGCCTCTTTTTTTATCCAAATTCTCTCCTCAATCTCTCATCTTTTTCAAAATTAAATTTCACCACGTTGAAATTGAAGAGTTAAGAACATGTTAGACTGATCAAGTTTATTTTTTATCCTTTTTTAAGCAAATTATTTTCTTCTTGCATGTGATTAATTTGTCTACTGTGATAAATTTATATTTTTGTAAATAGGTGAGAGGTGATAAATTTATATTTGAAACATTATGATAAAGAATAAAAGAATTGATTCTTTTTTCAAAAGAAAGACTTGTGATGAAGATAAAAGAAATGTATCTAAGTTAACTAAGCTTAAGAAATTTCATAAAAATCCAAGATTCGAAGAAAATGAAAAAAAAAAAAAAAAAAACTCTACAAGCTCCTAGAGTTACATATAATGAATTTAAAAGTTCTTTAGAATGTGATTCGGAAAAATGCCCTCAAATTTGACAATATCCACCAAATCTTATTAATAAAATACGAAAGACTTATCTAAAATAGAGTCCATATCAAATACATCTAAAAAATTATCCATAATCGGATAAAAATATCATCCAAAAAGATTTCATATACACTTATTTAATGTATTTTCTTCGTAGTTAAAGTATTCACCACTACAAGATGTTGCATTATATTGCTTAACTTATTATCTTTTTAGTAAAAAATCAAGCACCCACCCTAGTTCAGATGTTTTCATTGTTACTTGTAATTAAATTTGAATTTGACAATAGGTTGATTGTCTTTATTATTGTTTTAACTTTGATGACTTTTTTTTCATAGGTTTTAAAAGTTGAAAAAAAGTTAATAATGGAAAAAATTATGCTTTCCTTAAACACATAAGAAAGGATCCTTCACAATAATGTAGTGAGAGTTTTGTCAAAACTTATAAAATCAAAATTACCATATTATGAATGTTTTGAAAGCCCAAAGCTAAAGTATGATTGTGTCTCAAGACTTCAATTGACATAGTTTGTTTTTTTTTTCACTTGAAGGTGCTTTTAGACGTCAAGATGACACTATTGAATCAAGGAACCAAGTCAATTTTTTTGAGATGATAAAACTCATAGCATCATGCAATGATGAAGTTGCAAAAATTGTTTTGGAAAATGCTCCATATAATTCCAAATATACTTCACATAAAATTCTAAAGTGAGTTATTGAATATTTTGTGCAGTAAAGTGAAAAACCATATTCGGGAGGAAGTTAGAGATTCCAAGGTTTAGGTAAAGTGAGTTTTAATTAATTGACGATATACGAAAGGTCTACATACTAAGTATATCATTAAACTAAAAAATTGTATAAATTTACTCGTAATATGCAAAATAGTAATATAAAATTATATCTATCATCAAGCAATAATCAAAAACACAACTTAAGGCTACGATAGAATTTACAATAACTACAAAATCCACAAAGTCTTCTCACCGTCTTAATCAGTCGAACAATTTCCACATAACAATTGACAAAATGAATAACACTTCAAATCTTACCAAAATTTTTAACTCTCCAAGATGTGAGCAAAATTTCTGCTGAAAGGGTCACCAAAATTTGTAACTCTTCATGATATGAGCAAGCATCTGAGCTCCATTGAAGATTCATGCTGCAATCACAAGCTCGTCACATCCAATCAGTTTAACAGCAGCTGAGACTATACTACAGTCTAAACATATTAGGCTCCAACTTCAGCTCCATCAGTGAGCTTGAGAGTCATTTTTATGTTCATTGCAGCTAACTCTGCAGCCAAATATCTGAATACATAGGGCATGGCAACAGTCTCCATGCCTTTACTCGTTTGGCAAGCATGACAAGTAACCTTCTTCGCGGCTCTTCCGGGAGGTAGCCCACCGATCTGGCGCACCGGCCTCTTTTGAGGCTGGATGAATGTTGTTGTAAGCATGCTTCCACACAGAGAACATACGTCAGCAATGTGATAATCAGAACATGTGTGCAACCTATCATGCAGAAGATATGCAGCTCCGTGCGCAAGCAGAGAGTCACGTTCCATTTCACCGAATCGGATTCCTCCACCACGCTTCCGTCCTTTTATCGGCTGCCGGGTGACCTGATCAATTGTGCCAGTAGATCGAACCTGTAATAAGGAAAAGCCATGGTATCAAAACGTTTGTTACTATTTTTTAGTTTATAGGGCAGTAGGAACTTAACCCTTTATTGAAACTCGGAAGGAGTGGGGAAACGTGAACAAAAATACCGAGCAATCAATCTACTTGTCAACAAGATTCAATATTAAAACTGTTATTTATTCAAAATGTCTCTGAAATAGTTGTCGGCAGAAAGCAACTAAAAAGAACAAAGTTATGTTCTACTGTTACAGTCCCGCCAGCATAGAAATCTTTTGAGCTTTAAATTTGATATACATTATGCAGTTTATAAAACCACACTCTTAAGATAGAAACATGACATTTTCGACGTGCTCACAGAAAATATGGAGAAGTATCCTTTTGTTGATGACTTTATAGGAAGTGAGAGCAGTGAATTTGTTCACCTGAAATTTGTCTGAAACCATGTGACGCAGCCGCTGATAATAAACAGGCCCAATAAATATTTCACATGTTAGTTCTGTTCCATAAACACCGCTGTATAAAACCTTCCAGACCGTGATAATTAAATCCCTTTTCTTTTAGCATAAGACCAAGATCATCCACAAGTGAACCTGATTTTGAATCAGATCCCTCATCGTCTTTCTTCACTGAGCTTCGAAATGGAGTTGCATCTACAAATTCTCCACGTAAGGAACCTCCCTGCAGAAGAAATTATCATTAAACATGCATGCCTTCAGAAGTGAGACTGATACAGCACAAATAAGATACAGAACCTAAGAAATTGATATAATTATAACATCATAAAAATACAAATATTAATTAGAATAAACATATCAAGTTTTCTAAGTCATTATTAATCATTGTACATACAATAAATACTGTAATTTATCTAAACATAGTACAATCCCACTTGTATTGATACACAATTTTAATAAATAATTTAAACTTGAAAGATGATTCGTGAACACTACAAATACAAGCTATCATTTTTGTATTACAAGTATGGAGCTTCAAGTTACTAACATAATTGGTAAAAAGTGCAGACAAACCTAAACAATGATCCTCGGAAAAATAATTAAGGGAACCAGATATCCTGTCTTCCACCTAACGTAGTGATGAATTTTGGCAGTGAACCAGTCAACAAGGAAATTGCTCTAGCCAGATAGCAGGGTGGCTACTATTTTTTAAATTTTATAATACAAACTAATAAGTACCTATATTCCTATATAATAATTGCTCAAGGTTCTTTCACCTAAACCAAGAAAAACATTTAATTCTTCTATTTTCAATGCAATGTTATACCCCTTACAGTTTTCACTCCAAACATTTCCAATGCATAATAAAAAAGAAAAATAAGGGTATGATTAGAAAAACAAAAGTTGATTTATCTACAAATTGTAAATTGTCATAAAATCAACAAATTATCCTCCACAAAAGACTATTACATACGAACAAATGCACTACATGTATAATACGTCAAAAGCAAAACGCCCTAAATTAAAGAAATTTATAATAATAACACAGAACACGGTAAAAGTGAAAAGAAAGATGATTGAAATTAATAAAAAAAAAAGGACAAGAATTAGACAGTAATTAGGAAAATGTGACAGGGAAGTCTAAAGGAAGAAGAAAGAACACAGCATATGAAAAAGGAGTCTTATAACTGTGGAAGTAACCGAGGTCAGAACAGAAGTAACTACAGTATTCCGGGGTAAAAATTTGTTAATGAATGCCACTATTTTTACGGACTATCAATGGCCACTAGTGAAAGCTTACTCCACTAATAGAATCCCATAGCAGTCCAGGGCACTCCACTACGCTAGTGCACTATTGACTACTACGACATCAACTACAAACGGAAAATTTCATAATTTATATGATAATCTTCACTCATAAGGATTTTGCATTATGATATTTTTCACACATTACTCCATTGTAGTACCTTAGCGGCAACTGATTCCAAAAGCATAGCAATTGTCATCCTGGAAGGAAATGCATGGGGATTGATGATGAGATCAGGGCGCATGCCAGTATTTCCAGAAAATGGCATATCAACATCTGGCCACAACTGAGAGCAAACACCTTTCTGTCCATGTCTACTGCTAAATTTATCCCCAATAACAGGGTTCCGAGGATGTCGAAAGCGTATGTTAACCTGCTCCAAATAGTTACAAGCACAAACTATATAAATCAGCAGATGAAAGTGAATAATCCAC